AAATCTCTGTACCTTTCCCTATCGCAGTGGCCAACTCTAAGGCAGACGGTCCATAAATAGATTCTTCACTACATGTTGGATTAGCAACAATGACGACATCTTCCCCAAGAAATCCCTTGCTATCTTTTATCTATTAAAAAAAATAATAATAAATAATGGTAATTTGCAGTACCAAAAAAAAAAAAAAAAAAAAATTATATATATAGGAAAGTTCAATTTAAATACCAGTTACCTGTATAGGTTGTGAACTGCTAGGTACCCCAGTAAAAAATTGATCAAGAGAAGTGGCAACACATTCCTGTACTGAATCAAGTCTCACTTTGTCGGTGACATGCTTCCAGTTACGATCCTCATCATAAGCTTTCACATCCTCCTCTAACTCCATTAACAACTGACGACGGCGACGGTTATTGATTAATGGTGGGACATCTTCTGCTGTTTGGTGATGGCTACTAGATCCTCCAACAACGTCACAATCATTATGAGATTTGATGGTTAACTTTGGCACTGGCTTAGATGGGAGATTTGACTTCAGCCCCTTAATTAAAACCTTTCTGATTTTAGTTGGTTTCTCTGGTGGGGAAATCGTGCGTTTAGATTGCTTTGAGGTAGTTTCTTTCTGTGTAAATGGATCAATATATACGCTGGACCACCATTTGGCATATGCTCTGGTAACTGAGGATTTTTGGTGGCTGAAGGTTGAAGGAAGCAACGCATCACAACCAGAAGAATAATGAACGGATGAGTCCTAATGCTTTAAAAATTCCTCTAAGGTGCAAGTACGAAAGTCATTTTTTAATTTTTCAGGAATATCTTGATGGAACCCAAATTGTCGGCTAAATCTGTGTGGACTATACGGCTCAATGATAAGACGGTCATTTTGGCGCAATGTCAAATAACATGATCGAAGATTGATTAGGGTGTCAAAGTCAGCCTTTTTCATCTTGCCATTATCTACAATAAGTCGCTCTGTTGAAGATCTTTTAGCCATTCGAGTTAAGTTTATTCCTTTACATGATCTGAATAAATTTTGGGCTTCAAAATGGTCAAAGTATCTTGCTCCTCCTTCGCCTGCATATAATGTCATTCTAGGCCAATAGTTGGTATTGGGAATGGTGAAATTAGTTCTGAAATATTCACTCAACCATCCGAATACATAGTGAATAGGAAATATCGCAGAGCAGCTTCCAGGATCTGGTGAGGAAACAATCTCGTTCAAGCCTCTGTAAATACTGGCCAGAACCGGGATGGAAAGACAAATGTTGCAGCCATCTGCTAACATGCTTGCGACCTTGAAAGTCCCAGGACGAATTATGTTGCCAGGGTGTGCAGGTAAGGCAAATTTGCAGAGCCAACAGGCTAAAAAAGCAGCTAGATAAGTGGTGTCTCTCGATGTTTCATCTACACCAAGGTTGATAAATACTTCTTTCTCTTTGGTGGACATCGACCGGACAAGAGGGATCACACCAGACGGATTTTGAGTCCTCATAGGGCGGTGAACTTTATTTTTTGTTGATTTCTTTGAAGGTTTGGCATGTCTTGATGCACCTTTAAACCAGAAATTAATCCAGTCAGATATCTTCACATTCTGATCTCCTTTATACTTCTTGGAAAGTCTGTGGAAGGCCAAAAATAGGTGTTGACAACTCAAAGGGATAGAATTTTTGTTGTTGCCAGCTCTTGATAGTTCATCTGCACAAGGAATAATTTCATCATAACTAGTTCCTTGCTGAGGGAGACCACCTAGCATATATAGATCTCGAAGAGAAATTGATAGCTCGCCAATAGAACAATGAAGTGTATTAGTGGCTGGGCACCAACATTCAAGGAATGCTTTGAATACATCTTCATGATGATCATAGGAAAATAGGGAGGCGAATAAAGCACCATATAGTTGTTGTTTTGATAGAAAGTCATGGAAACGCGCCAAGACATCTTCTAACCACTCCCAGTATAGTTCGGTGTATAGCAATTCAGCAGGAAGTTTATAGGGAATACTCCATGATATTTCCTTCGCCTGAACATTAAAACCCAATAGTGAAAACTGGTTTTCTTCAACAACTCTCTCATGAAGTGAAGAATTTAGTATCAAGGCTTTAGAGACAATAGATTCTTCATTAATCTGATCAGGACCAAAGTCGGTGAGTTCGCATGTGGCCGTGCATGTCCAATGAGATGAACAATGTTTATTGTTAGAATCAGGCACTTGAATAGCATTGCGACCAAAAAGTGAGTCATATACACTTAATGTCGTTCCTTGGACTCGTTGACTATTTTCGCTCTCTAAGATAGTCAGCTTTTGCTTTGCGAAACACTTGAACACCACCATGATGGATACCAAAGCTCGATCGATGTTGTTTAGAAAGAGGATTTCAATTTCTATTATGGCTGACAAAACTAATTTGCTATACCTTCTCAAGTCCTTCAAAAAAAAAAAAAAAAAAAAAAACAAATCTAGCGTGGAAAAAAAAAAAAGGAAAGAAGAAAAAAAAAAGAAAAGAAATTGCAATCCTCCAGGAAACGTGAAAAAAAAAAAAAAAAAAAAAAAAATTTTGCCTCCAACAACAACAGGCAACGTGGAGGAGAAAAAAAAAAAAAAAAAAAAATTGCAATTCTCAATCCTCAATGAAACGTGGAGGAGGAAAAAAAAAAAAAAAAAAAAAAAATTTGCAAATCTCAATCCTCCAGGAAACGTGGAGGAGAAAAAAAAAAAAAAAAAAAAAAAAAAAAAAGTGATTCCTCCAACAACAACAGGCAACGTGGAGGAGAAAAAAAAAAAAAAAAAAAAAAATTTGTTCCCTCCAACAACAACAGGCATGAATAAAAAATAAAAAAAAAGCATTCATACCTATGTGTTCAAGCAGATGTCGCAATCCAACACAATCTTCAGAGGCCGCACTCTTACAAGTTCTTCAGAACTGATTGAAATTGATGTCAAACCCTATGACTTGGGTGGTATATATAGGCAAGGGATTTGTATAAATTGGAAAGTAAAAAATCCAAAAAAAAAAAAAAAAAAAAAAAAAAGGTTGGATACTTCAAGTCCCACTTGAAAAAGGAGACAAGTCCTGTTAAGCGTAGAACTTGAAGTGGGGGCAATTTGTAGACACTAAAATTTTAGTGAACTTTAATTTGGACAAATGGACCCATTAAATATGGGCCCAATGTTTAATTAAGTTATTTAATTGGCCCAAGTATGGTCCACTTAAATTATTTAATTAAGCCCAGTCTAGAGTCTAGATGGTCAAATAAAAAGAATAATTATTCCTAATAAAATATATTTGGAATAATTATTTTTAAGGATAATTATCATAATATATCCGGCCCGGCCCAATTATAATTTTTTTTCCTTATCAGGAGATGACACGTGTCATCATCCTATTAATCCAAGAAGCCTATAAATAGAGGCTTGGAGGAAGAAAAAGGAGAGAGGATTCAGAATTCAGAAGTTTACAAATTCAGACACAAATTCAGAATTCAGAAGTTCAGAGACTCAGAAATCCAAAGACTCAGAATTCAGACACAAATTCAGAATTCAGAAGTTCAGAGACTCAGAAATCCAAAGACTCAGAATTCAGACACAAATTCAGAATCGAAACCCAAAAGCGAAGAACATCAAGCACATCCAACAACGTGCTGTTCTTCATCAAATTCCACATTGATTCAAGAACAAGCTCGTGCAGCCCTTGGATCCAACCAACCAAAAACAAGGAGATCGAATCAGAGGACCATTCTTTTTTTGTAAAAGATATTACAAAGGACTGTACTCCACATTCATAAATTAATAAAATTCTATTTGCTCCATATTTTGTTTCTATTGCAGACTTACAAAATTTGTGTGTACAAGTACCCTCGGGTGCAAAAAAAACAAAAAAAAAAAAAAAAAAAAAATTCTTGAGTTACTATTTACATGAATAGTGCCCGTGGGAATAGTACCAGCGGGTACTGTTCACAGGGGTTGAAAAAAAATCATGAATTACTATTCACGTGAATAGTACCCGCGGGAACCGTTCACAGAGGTTATATATATATATATATATATATATATATATATATATATATATATATTATTTATTACATTCCCAAAGCTAGACGTGCAAGCTTGGGAATGGGGGGCAACTGATAGGGAAAAATATAAACCTACCCTACCCTCGACAAGATTGATTAGATTTCATTATCAAGGATAATGAAATCTGACGTGGTTCAACAGGTAAGAATAATCCTATTATAACTGGAGGAGGTCAAAAGGATTAAATCATATCCCCGACAAATCTGGTAACAAATCTTCTATGATTTCACACAAGCGGAAGATAAGATCAACTATCGACATCAGCGGAACGATTTTGATTCCAATCGACAGCCATAAATAGGGCTGTCTTCTTTTAGACCTTCGTGATTAATTTGATCGTCGGAGAGCTCTTGGCAGGCACTACACCGGTGCCGTCAAGGTTCATCGATCTTCTCCTCTCTTCCTTGTTGGACTGCGCGAATTTCAGCCTCAACAGTAGTTATCAAATAAATTTAAAAATAATTTAATTGTGAAAAATATTTATTATTATATGTCATTAAACACTTACACCTAACATGCTTATTACTTAGACAAATTCGAACTCTAGATTTTGCACATGTAAGTACCACTTTTTGTGCTGCATAAAAAAGTGACACCTAATGCATAGAAAGCGGTACATATAAATAAAAGTAATATTTCTATATCCAAAACAAAAGTGGTATCAGATGCACAAAAGGGGTACATGCATGCACAAAAAATGTATCTATGTATGGATGTGCCTAAAAGTGATACCTCTGTGAGAGTAAACACTACTATTAGCACCATTTATATGTAATAATTCAAAAAAAAAAAAATCTTTTCCTTAACATAATTTTTGATTAGAAAATTAAAAAAATAATAAATAAACAAAAACAGTAAGTAACTGAATTAAAAATGTTTTCTTTTCCTTATTTATTACTTTTCAAAAACGAATGGACAATTTTATACCAGGTAGTAAAAATAGTAACCTTTTATAAGAATCAAAATTTGACAACATTATATATTCCCCCTTAAAATAAAATCTCCAACCAATAACATAATAACAACCTTAAAACAATAAATCAAATTCTCAATCTAATACAAGTAATTCCTTTATCATCATCATCATCATCAAATGGTTAAAAATCAAAAGTCCTTGAGGACCTTGCGGACCTGTTCAAGGGTCACAAACAGCACCACAGTAAAAGGACCCTGCCTAGAAATTGTAGGGATAAAGCCCTTGTAGAGGGCCATTGGCCCTTCAGACCTCACCGTCTTAAGGGCACAATCCAAAGCCCCGCTGTAAGGTGGAGTCATTCCTGGCTCCACCCTCATGTTCATCACTCTTGTCTTAATTACGTCAATGGGATTTGAGGCCACGGACGCCACGAACCCGGCTGCGAAACTCGCGGTCACGTGGGTCCCGAGTCCATCCTTCATCACACCCTTCTCCAAAATCGCCTCCTTTATCTGATCGTACGATGCCAATTGAGAAGCGGTCACGATCATAGCGCGGTTCACCGTAAGCGATGAGCCGCGCCACAGGCTAGCAACGCCCTCTTGTCTAGACATGCGCGTGATCGCGTCGAGTACGCTCTTATAGTTGCGTCGGTCGGAAGCCGGGAGCCGACCGTCGGCTTGCATTCGGACCATGGCGACGTCGGCTGGGTTGCCCACAGCCGCGCCGATGGCGCCGGCCACCAAGCCGGCGACTATTTTGCGCCCGAGTGGCAGGTTTCCAGTATCCGGGTCGGACCATTTCTGTTTGAAGACTTCATAGAGGCCCATTCGGGTGGTGGAGTAAAGGGTCTGGCGGAGGACGGTGGCGGATACGCCAGAGTACAGGGCGGCGATGCCCTCGGTTTGGAAGATCTTGACCCCGACGGAGACGGGACCCACCTTCGGCGGCGGAGGAGGAGGGATGTGCATGGTGTTTGGGGGGGCGATGGTGGTGCCGTTCAAGGCGAAGGCGGGGCGGAGAGAGTGAATGTGGGGGTTTTGGAGAGGGGTTTCGCCCTGTAATTGCATTCGGACTTTGATGAGGTCGAGCGGGTGGGTCGAACAACCCGCCACGATCGAGGCAATCCCTCCTTCAACGAAACCCTTCAAACCCATCACTGAGTTATGTAATTTGATTACAAAATTGAAGATGTGAGATGGGTTTTAGGGATTGAGAGAGAAAGAGACGGGGCGGCGTTTGGAGATGTCGATGTAGTGGAAGAAGAAGAGTGAGGGACTGTGTAGATGTGTGCTGGTGGTGAATAAAATGTGTTTGGGAGGAGAGATTTTATAGGGGGTGGTGTGGGAAAGAGAGGAAATCGGAAGGAAATCAGATGCTTTACTGGGTCTTGGGTTCAATTCAATACGCGGGATTGGTGGGTCCAACACGAAAAGGGTGGTGGGCAATAGGTTGGGTTTGGACCGGTCTTAGTTGGCATGCAAAAGAAAAATAAAAAATTTAGGAAGGTGTTTTGGTCAATAGGAACCCTAATGTTCCCACCAAAGCTTTCCATTTTGGTTTTTATTTTTATGAATTTCTATTTTGGGAAAATTAAAGTTGCACTAAACAAATACGTGGAATCAAGAAAGTTTATTTTAGTCGTATGGAAATTAATCATTTATTTATATATCTAAAATCCAATTTGCTATGAAAATTAATGTGTTCGTAAAAGGAAGGAAGGAATGATGGAATGTGGAGAGAAAATAGGAAGGAAAAAACGAATTTTTTCAGCAGAGATGATATAAAGAAAGAAAAGAAAATACGAATAATGATATAAGGGAAGAAAGGATGAAAGATAAGTAAACTCTTATAAAAGTTTTAAATTAAATACATACAAGTTTTAAATTACAATATAATAAATATTATTAAATATAATGGTAAAAACAACTAAAACTTTCTTTTTTATTATAAGTTTATTTATTTATTTATTTTTTTCTATCTCACATCTTCTTTAAGAATGTCTTATTCATCGTTATTTTGTCCCTTCATACAATTTTTTTCTTTCCTTTTGAAGAGAACATTAAGGAGTGAACTAAAAGTAATGTATTTATATCAACCAATCTATTACAACATTTTAAATATTCGGCAACAATATCTCACAACATCACACGGTGAGCTATCATAATAGTCCCATGCATTGCTGTGAATTGTAAAAAAAATCTCTAACTTGTGAACAATCACAGCAGTAAATGAAGATGGCATTAAAGAAAACCGTTAAATAGAACAAAACCATTACGTACCTTTAATAAATAATGTCAATGACTTTAAGACCTGTTGTTTGGACCAGGTGTTTGAATGATTTATGATATGAAGCACATTTATGTTAATAAATTATTAAATGATCACTTATTAATATTTTTTATATATAAAAAAAAATATTTATTAACACTTAAATTTTAAATTTGGCACTATAAATCTTTTCTTAATTTTTGAGATCACTTTAGAGTATTTTTTATTTTATTTTTTGAAGAGTAAACTTTAGAGTAATTTTATTTAAGTTTAATCACTAAAATCTATATATTTTTTTTTTGGTTGATAATTTAATATTTGAATTCCTTACTCTTTTTTTCCCTAAATTATTCCTTAGCTTTTGAGTAGAAACTAGTAAGGTAACGCAAATTGCTACTAGTGGACTAAATTGTTTCCTTTAACTTTTCAAAATAGGTTGACGGTTGAAGTACTTGCAACATTAATTCGCAAAAAAAATAATAATTAAATAAATAAAACAAAAGAAGTTTTAATTTGACTACGAGAGTCACGATTCAAATTGTGGAAATAGTCTTTTCAGTATCACTCGACCAAGAGTCGCGCAGGAGAGGAAATAGTCCAATTTGGCATACATCCCATATTAACAGACGAGTTTCCGCGTGATGGTGGGATCGATCTCCTATGTTATTGTTGGTGCCGCCACACGTCTTAAGCGGAGATGTTCTCTTTCTCTTTGTATATATATATATATATATATATATATATTTCAATATTTCACATAGGTTTCCTTTTAAGTTTCATACTTTTATTCACCTCCCTTATTTGTGATAGTTGTCAACTTGATAACAGTAACGTGTTATTTTATTATTTTATTGATAAAATATTTGCTGTTATTTTAGGTATTAGAATTGCAAAATTGATCTTTTATCTATTTTATGCTCACTAACACTAGCAGATTTCATTAGATGCCTAACGGAGAAATCTGTTATATACATAAGAACTTCTGACAAATTTCAGAAGAGGTAAGTGGAAATTATCTAATGAATATGCATAGAGAGAGAATGAGATATTCAAACTGCAAATATGAAAATAATAATAATAATAATAAAATAAAAAAAAATTATTGAAATTAATTTTGTTAGAATTTTTGAATGAAAATTGTTTCATTAGTAATCAATAGATGCCTTTGACTGAATAGGTGTGATCACTTGTTGGTTGTGGAATAAAAATATGTAACTCACAACCAACAGACATAACCTATTTAATGTGAACCATTGCAAATGGTTGTGTCCAGTGATGAATAGATGCATATAAATGGTTGTGTCCAGTGTGAAGAGATACATATAAATGGTGGTATCCAGTGATGAAATGGTTGTGTCTAGTGATGAAGAGACACATATAAATGGTTGTGTTCAATGATGAAAACACGCACCTAATCCGAAAAGGCATTTCTATTTCAATAAATATGAATGGCAGTGTCCAATGATGAAGAGACGGACCTACTTCGAAAAGGCATTTCTGTTTCTATAAATACCCCATGGGCTACCATTTGCAAATCGTTCAATTCAATTTTTTCTCTCTCCCTCTCTAGACTTGAACCCAACCCAAGTGGGTTCAAACCATAGGTCAAGTGGTCCGAGCCACTTAGACCCTAATCCAATTTCATCTAACCATATTAAGATTGGTCCGAACCATTTGGTTCGGATTGCTTCCAATTTAGCATTTATATAGTATAGATACATTTTTTAGTTAGAAAGAGTATTACACGGAGGAGGTTCACCGTATCCACGAGTTTGTAATACTGCTACTGGTGGATGTAAACCGTTATATCTTAGGAGATAGACGCTACTGAGTCCGTTAGCACCATAGCAGGGTGAATTTGTCTTAAGGACATCATATTCAATACTAGCCTCCGTCCAGATTCTTTATTTATTATTTATTTATTTATTACTTTATTTTTCATATTTTATTAAATATATAATTGCATATTTAATTAATCATTTTTTAGCATATTATTAATTATTTCATAGTATATTAGGATAAGGATTGTTATATCTTAAATGTCACATGAAACATATCTTTTTTTATAACAATCTTTAGACAGATTCATTCCTTGCGTAGATTTTATTATATACTTTTATTTAAGATATAAACAAGTAGATATTACACTAATAGTTAAGATATAATAAAATATTGCTATATACATTATTATATGATAATATACTAAATATTGATGTGTTTAATATTATGTGAAATTGAAGCATGTTATATAAGTAAATTATTGATATAATTCAATATTGGTTGGGTTATTTTTGTAATATGATATTATGTAGTTGTAATACCCCTAGATTTGAAAGAATTATTTAATTAAATAAATTGCTTTTAAATGGATTTAATGGATTTACTTGTTTAAATTGATTTATTTGTTTATTTGATTTATTAGAATGATGATTGTACGTGTGTTAGGTGCTTGATTGTTGATTGATTTGTTGATGTGTTGACCTTGGTTGTATAGAATGATTTTGTTGTTGTGATCCTTGTTTGTGTATGTGATGTGTGTAATTAGTTGTATAATTATTTGATTATTTATTTATTTTATTAAATAAACTGGACTTGAAAATGGATTAAAGGATTTGGTAATGGGCTATAATGGGAAGCCTTGAAGGATTTATAAGCTTTAGAGGTCCATGGATTTATGCATGAATATATATATATATATATATATATATATATATATATATATATATATTATGTATAATAGATGGATTGGATTATATAAGTATATATATATGTGTGTATGACGTAAATACATATAATTATCATTATTGTTAGATTTATTATATATATATATTAACTGAAATATATATATATATATATATATATATATATAGTAAGTATATATACATCATATATATTTACGTATCTTTATATTATAATTTAAGGAGGATTTAAATAGTTATATTTATATATATATGTTACGTATATATATATGGGGAGTTATCAGATTAGGGTTAGGAGACTGGGTATATCTCTATATATATACCTATTATATAACCCTTGAAGAGGGTTATTACGTGAGAAAGAAGGAAGCAGTGAGAGAGTTTGCCGAGAGAGAGAAAGAGAGAGAAATCAAGAAGGAGGCCAAGCAAGGAGCAAGGCCGAATCAAGGAGGAGGACGTCGACGACTAGGAAAGCTGTCGGAGACGAGGAAGACAACCGGAGAAGCTTGCGGCGCGTCAGTTTCGTTTTGAAACTTCAGGCAAGTTCTTCTCTACCTCTCCTCTTAGAACCCATGAGTTCTACACCTTGGGTATCATAATCTAAACTTTAATTGCATGCAGATCACCTAGACATAGGGTTAAAAGTATGGAAGGAAATTGGTTATGTGTATATATATATATTGTTTATATATATATTATGTTTGGATGAATTGATTGGAATGAAATTATGTTATATCATGTTTATAATGCGTATTTAGATGCTAAATCATGTATTAGATCATCCAAGAATTAATTAGGATTGTTCTTACACAAATCAGAGGCGAAATAGACAAGTTACAGAGGCCGGAAGCTGCTGTTGCAAGGAGGACGACGACCCAGGCTCAACCGAGTCGACTCAGTTGTAACTGAGCCGACTCGGTTGGGCAGAGAGCCGACTTAATTGGTAACTACGCCTACTCGATTGCCCTGCTACTTGGTTTCAAATTTTGGTTGTCCAGAATTGATCTAAGAGTGTTTTAATGGAGTTTTAGGGATTTAATGGACCTAATTAAATACTGTAACACGTATAAATATTAAGAACGCTAAATAGATTGACAAAGGAATGAGTAAATTAATTCATAAATTAATTTAAAGGAAAGTTTGGATGCTTATATGGCTATTGGTTTTGGAAGCATGTTTAAACAATTTATTAAATTGTTCTATCATATTTATCATGTGTTGATATACTGTAATTGGGATAGAAATCTTAGAGAATTATTTTATATCTTTTTGTATATACTTGTATTATACCTATGTTGCTTATTGTATGCTTTATTGTACTTTTAATTTATGCTTATGGGATATGGTTTATTTGGAAGCATGGATTGTTTGCCGAGGT